GAGGAGGAGGCCACCAGCTCAGAGAAGGAGGAGGCCATTAGCTCAGAGGAGGAGGCCACCGGCTCAGAGGAGGAGGAGGAGGAGGCTGGAGTCATTGGAGCATGGTTTAAAAATGGTTGTGTAGATTAAGGTCTGTACTTGTGATATAAATTAAAATGGAGTTGCTGAGATGCTGTGTCTTTCCCGCTAGAGCGACTGGAATTGGTCATGTGACCATCATGCTCCGCCACGTCGACTGACTCCAAAGGACGCAAAAAATTTGTCAGAGTAGGTGGAGAAATCTCCGCCTGTTGTTGAGAAGGCAGCACTTTAACCCACACCTACCGACAGTTTACAGTCCATTACCTCAGCGTGCATGTTTTTGGAGAGAATAAAAGTACCTGGAAAAAAAACCCTACAACATGCTCAAGGAGAAAAACTGTAAACACAGTAAAGCCCTAGGCTGGGAGGCGAACCTGTGACCTTCTGGCCATGAGTCACAGCACCACTGTGTCAGCAGGCTCAAACTCACATTTCCTATCATTTATAGACAAGAGAACAGATAACGAACGTTTGAACTATGAAATTGTACTCATTAGAAAAATAAGAGTCTGCCATCCACAGATGCTGCTTAAAGCTCTATCAGGCAAAGAAGAAGCCAGATGTGGACACCGTTCAGAACCACTGCCATCTTCTTTGAACTAAAGAGCAGAGGGACCATCCAGCTCAGAGTGCAAACAATTGCCTCTCTGATGGTATGAGGGTGCATTAGAGCCTCCAACATGGGCAATGACACATCTGGAAAGACTCCCATCAATGCAGGAAAGTATCTACAGGTTTCAGAACATCTGCTGCAGATCAGCAGGATGATAACCTTCATGCTGCGTCTGTTCCAGCAGCTGAACCGTCTGCTGCACTGCAAACAGCTCACGAGCTGAAAACATCTGGCAACATGCAGGACGACGTGGGACCGCTGAACAGCTTGAACCCCCCATGAGTCCAGAACGAGGCAACAATCTGGAGCAAAACCTCCAACAGCTGGACTGCTGAGCTCCTGGACATTTACAGACTGCTGTTAGAACCGTGGACACGTCCCGTGTTTGTGGAAGTGTGTTGCTGCAACAAAGTTCAGCTCAAGGCTTAAAAATTAAATAAAAACGGTTTCAGTTTCTCACTTTAAACTTTTGCACGTTGTTTCGTTGTGAATAAATTACGGCTTTCTGGACAAAATAACAGCGTTTGTTTGTATTTACACTTTAAAATCAGCTGATGCTCACCGTTCTTCACCATGTCTGAGATGGAGCGGGCCAGCTCAACCAGGACGCTGGTGCCAACAGTTGAGGCAGCAAAGCCCGGACCCCACGAGTCCCTCTGGGCACCCAGAACCACATACCTGTCTGCGCAGTGGAAGGATGACGTCATTCATGCTGCTCTGGACACTCCCTGAAGTCTGTAGGTTTAAATTTATTGTACCTGCATCCACGAAGCCTTTAATGACGCCGAACACGTTGTTGATCTTCTTCTCAGTAAGAACGTTGTTGACCTCCACGGTGATTGAATCGTCCTCGTTTCCCAATTTGTTGAAGCCCCCCCATCCTTCTGGCAGGTTCTGACCCCCCAGCTGCCTGTGGGTCACACACACATAACATTAGTGCTGAACAGCAGCGTGCACAGCAAATATATCTGAAGGTCAAAGGACGGACCCAAGCGACTTTACCTCAGAATTCTTTTGGCCGTGCCTTGAGTGATGGTCTGAGCTACGATCTGCGGCAGGCCTGAAGACTCCACGGGAGGAAACTGGGTGTGGTTGAAGGAGGGAAAGCCTGGGGTGTAAGGGTCCCCTGAACCCAAATGGACCTGAGGATGACCAACAATCAAACTGTGCAATGACTCCAGAATACACCAGATTACGCCAGAATACACCAGATTACTCCAGAATACACCAGATTACTCCAGAATACACCTCTTACAACATCCTGAAAATATCAAACGATGACGTAGATCAAAATATTTTAGGATTACAACAACATTAAACCCCATCTATTGACTTTTCTTGTGGACAGTGTTTGTGACAATCATTTAATATTTGGGGCAGCTGTGGTTGAGCAGTCGTCCTCCAATGGGAGAGTTGGGATTCAATTCCACCAGCAGCCACATGCTGAAGTGTCCCTGGGCACGACAATGGACCCCTCATTGTCTCTGTGTCCCATCGGTGTATGAATGTGATAAAGCTCAGATTAGTGTCTGTAGAATCAGATGATCTGTGTAGAGATGTAGTAGAGTGCTGTATGAATGTGTGTGGGTAAATGAGGGCACAGAGTTTGCTGTAAAGAGCTTTGAGTATCTGGATTAGATAGAAAGGAACAAGATAAATACAGTCCATTTACAATAATTTTAAGTTAAAGTTTAGATAAATTGTTTAGATTCAAAGTTCAGTCTGTAATTTAACAGATTAGAAGAAATGTGCCTATAATCCAGCAGAGGGCGCTACAACATCAGTTTGATTACTGATGACCCCTGCAGACTAGAAGAACCAGCTGAAGTGTTCCAGTATTTTTACTACGACACCAAAACATGACTGAACACAAAAACACTGCTAGGAAACATTTTCTACATTTTACTGAACAACAACATGAAGCAGCAGGATTTCAGAATATAAACTCTACAGTTCATAGGATTCAGAATAATGTACGGACAGACACAAACAAGGACGATGCCCCTTGCCCGGCTGCGGGTTAGCGGGGCCACACCCTGGAGCAAGGCCTGGGGGGGCTCGTCGGTGAGCGCCTGCTTGCCTCCACCCATGGAGCCCAGTCAGGCTCAGCCTGGATTAGGAACATGTTTGCCTTCCTGTGGGTCCACCACCTGCAGGAGGGGCCATAGGAGTCGGGTGCATGATGCCCTGGGCAGTGGCTGAAGGTGGGGGCCTTGGCGTTCTGACCCTGACTTACCAAAGCTGGTTCTTGGGACATGGAACGTGACCTCCCTGGTGGGGAAGGAGCCTGAGCTTGTACACGAGGTTGAGAGATACTGACTAGATGTAGCTGGGCTCACCTGGACCCACAGCATGGGCTCTGGAACTAATCTCCTTGAGAGGGGCTGGGGGCGAGGAGTCGAGCTGGTGTGAGTCTACTCTGAGCCCCCAGGACTGGTGCCTGTGTGTTGGAGTGTTCCCCCATCAGAAGGATCTTCAACTTACTCCTCAAAGAGGTCACCTGCATCCCAGCAGAGGCAAAGACATCCAGGTGGGTCATGTTCCACGCCTCCATTGTTGAAGCAGCGCATCTTAAAAGTTGTCAGTGCCCCTCCCTGTGGCCATCGTTGAACTTGGTGATGGACACACCAGGTTAGGACATGTGTTCCTCAAGGCTCTGGAAATTGCAGGGCTGTCTTGGTTGACACGCGTGACGCGTTCGCAACATTGCGTGAACTTCGGGGGCAGTGCCACTGGACCGATGGACTCCTCTTGAAAGAGGGGGACCAGAGGGTGCGCTCCAGTTACAGGAGCATCACTCTCCTTAGCCTCCTGGTAAGGTCTATTCAGGAGTACTGGAGAGAGTCCGACGGACTCAGGAGGAACAATGTGGGTTCCATCCCGGCCATGGAACACTGGACCAGCTCTTTGTCCTCACTAAGGCCCACGAGGAGTCATGAGAGTTTGCCCATCCAGTCCACATGTGTTTAGTGGACTTGGGGAAAGCATTTGACAGTGTTCCTCGAGGTACACTGTGGGGGGTGCTCCATGAGCCTGGGACTGGGGATCTGGATCTAAATGTCATTCGGTCCATAAACAAGCGGTGCACTCATTACTGGCACTAAGTCGAGCTCATTCAAAATTAAAAACAGCCTTAATTGATGCACTCAGATCTTCGGTGCACTGTTACTAAACATCAGCTTTACTCACATGTCCATAAAGATCTGTGTCATCTCCAACAGAAGACTCGGAGGGGTCTGGGTAAATCAACACAGCAGAGGCGTTCATTTTGGCAGCATTAGCGACCTGTAATCATCGTTGGAAAAGACGAACAATGAACATGACTGATATTTTTTATGATAAAATACACTCGGGATGTTTTACCGTTAGAGTAATTTGGAGTTTGTAAAGCCACCCACCTTCTCAGCAAAGCTGATCTTTCCAGCTCTGACCAGCACGACTCTGCCACTCATGTTGATGTTCTTGTCCCGCAGCAACCTGAAGTCCCCCTCCTGCCCGTAGGAGGCATAGAGCGCTGCACCCTGAACACCACATCACAACTTGGGTTTAGTGCAGGGTTTACTCCAGTTTTCTCAAAGTTATTGACCTTGTCACTGACCTTCACTGATCCATTGCGACTGTAGGACAGGAACCCCCTTGGATGATCCTCTGGCTCATCCTTGTAAACTACCTTGTTAAATCCAGAAACCGGGGAGTCCTGAACCCTAATAAAGTGCTCATCAGTCCAGGTTTTCATGCCAAACTCCTTAAACTTCTGGAAGACTTTGTCCCCGAGTATCTCATCTTCGAGGGAACCGGCACGATGGCTGAATTTAGAGAACTCTCTGGAACAGAACATGAAAAGCCCGTTTTACACCTGCACAACAAGAACTTTGAAGGACGTGGGAGGTCTTTGCAATCACCTGAAGGCACCGTTTAATTTGGAGGCCGTTAGCCTTTGAGAGAGGAGCTTCTTGACGTCGTCCCAGTCCATCAGAGGAGCGGCGCCCGTCTCACGGACGACAGTTTCTTCGAAGGGACGAACAGAGGGTGCGCAGACAGGAGCCGTGGCTCGTTTCTGATAGCTCACGTAGCCGATCAGACACACTGAAAGGACCGTTGGGTTCAGTTTAGGAGAGGACACAAAACGAACGCACGGTGGAGGACAGACCGAGACAGGTCGAAACCAACAGCGAAACAACATTTTAAATGTTTAGCAGGAACTGGAACCTGAACGTTAAATGCATCTACACAGAGCTGTGGTTTCATGTGCACAGACATCAGGAGACAAGCTCAGCACCTTCCTCTTACCAATGATGAAGACGAGGAGGCCAGTGACTGCCATGAAGCAGACGTTTTGGGGGGTGCGTTTAAACTTTTGAACCATGTAGGGTCTGCCGTTGGCGTTGTGATTGAGGTGGTCCCCCACGCCGTTTCCCCCAACCTCCTCGTCCACGTCTGAGGACAGCTTCATCTCCACCTGGCTGCTGTCTCCTTCCATGTTCTGGGTCAGATTAAATCGTGTGTAGGAGTGAGGCTCCCCGTTGAACTGTTGAAGACAACGATGAGAGGTCAGAAGACGTTACCCCTGAACAGGACATGAAGAGCAGAGTCCTGGTCCTGGTCTCTGCTGCACACAGGAGACCAACAGTTTGGTACTCCACTCAATCCTATTCCAAAAATCACTTTAAGGTCTGAAAAAGGACAATGTAAAAAATATTAACTCTGAAACTCAAACTCATTTTCTGCGCCTGATATTGAACTGCAGCTACTCAATGATAAAAGCATGTCCAGTAAGACTAGCTGCACATAAATCACATTTCTGCAGTAAATGTAATCTGGATTACTGATGGAAGCTGCTTCCCAACACTCACAGTAATTAGTTCACAGTACATGTTAGTCAATCAGTGAACTTTATGGATTATTTTATTATTTTATTTAAAAAAATGAGGCCTTTTACACATTACAGGTCATCTCAGAGACAATTCTGTTAAAAGGTAGTGAAACGTGAAAGCACAGCTGTTACATTATTAGTACTTACAATTTTGGAGATTGTTGACCGTGCTTGGTCCATGGTTTCCTCTCTGGACTGAAATGATTCAAAAAAAGAATGAAACAATTTAGTGTGACTCGGATATTCAAATGCCACAAGTTAATCCATGACCTTGAAGCTTTTTACTCATAATAAAAAAAGGCAAAACCCTGCAGGTGGAGGATTCATTTTCATTTTCTTTCCAGTGTGCAACCAGTTCCAGTTGGACTGTGGGAAAAGTGTGGTGTCTTAAAGAAACACTTCCCGCCTCTTGTCCAAACATCTCGTGGGTTTCCTGCGCAGCTAACCTGAGAAGCAGTTCTGTCTGGGCGTACAAAAAGCCCGGTGTCCTGCAGACTGAGTGGGTCCGTGTGAACTCAGTCACCAGTGGAGAACAACAGCGCACCCTGAGAAGCCTCAGGGCAGAGCGCAGGCCAAGCCAAGCAAGCTCTCACTGTTCCAACAGAACAACGGGTGGAAATTATATTCTGCCATCCTGTGATCCACAGCCGGTGCAGAGAGAGACCGTCCACTGGTGCACGTCTGCAACAACCAGCAAGTGCTCCACGTCAGGAGTTCTGCACAGTTCAACACATCGTCTAAACTCGACCAGAACAGAAATAATGGCCAGTGATAAAACTTCAGACAGCTTTGTGAAATTTCTCACAAGTCGAATTCGCCTTTTCCAGTTTCCACGGCCTTCAGCTGATGGTTTCTACTGCTGGGTTCTACTGCTGGTTTCTACTGCTGGGTTCTACTGCTGGTTACGGACTGCGGCAGACAGGAAGTCAAAACAAGAGCGGTGTATCAAATTTAAAACATCCTTTTGTTTTGAGACTGAAGGATGGAGATGCTGCACAAACGGGCTGCAGCTACAAAAATCACATTTCTACCACAACGAAACAGGAAAGCACGGCCGGTACACTGCAGGAGGAGATGCAGCCGCTCGGGCGTGCAACTGTCAGGTCTAAACGGGACGAAGACGTGCTCTGGAAACACTCGGGTTCATTTCGGTGCACGGCACAGCTAACTTTAGAAGCAGCTGGTGCAGGACGACCTGGACTTCCAGGGCCTGCGGGGGGGACCAGAGACACACCAACATTGTTGTACATTTGTCCAAACAATCACAAGGAGCACAAAGGAGGACCCCTGCTCTTTGGTTATTTGTGGACTTCTAGTCTTTCATTTGGTCGTGTGAAGTTGTGTGAAACTAACTGACCTTTTTACAATCTGACATACCACGCATACCTTACAGAGCGCTAATTCTTTAATCAGATTAACAAGTGCTCTTTGAGCTGAACAGAGCATATACAAGCAGTCTAAACAGGAAAAAATAACCCAAACACACCGACAGACGTAACTGAGGCTCCCAAAAGAGGCGCTTCTTCACGTCACCTCCGTCCAAGGCTTGTTGGACACATGTGTCTCACTGATAAGGAGACAAAAACCCAGTCACGCCCTTGAAGGGTGGACGCTGCAGTCCCGAGCCGACAGATTACGTCTGGACTCGCTGAGCAGCCGGCCGTGCTCACCCACCGTCAAGGCTCAAGTACTAAAATATCAGCTGAATACTTCGTCCAACCAGAACACCAGCCCATCATCATCATCATCATCATCGCAGCCCATCATCATCATCATCATCATCATCATCATCGCAACATTCAAGTGTTTAGACGAGAAAACGTATAAAGAATGTAAACTAATATCCTATAGATCAATAAATTGTCTTAAAACCTCCAGTGTTTAAAACATGCAGGACTCCTGGACAGTTTCATTATTCATGACACACCCACGATAATAAAACATCAATTATTTATTATTTACTTTGATCTGAAAAGAGAAACATTTAAAGAGATCTCAGACGATGTGCAGAACAGCTGCTGTCAAATCTGAGCTGGACAGAGACTTGGAGGAGGAGGGGGAGAAAAGACTCTGGGAGGAGGGGGAGACAAGACTCTGGGAGGAGGGGGAGACAAGACTCTGGGAGGAGGGGGAGACAAGACTCGGGATGGAGGGGGAGAAAAGACTCGGGATGGAGGGGGAGAAAAGACTCGGGGAGGAGGGGGAGAAAAGACTCTGGGAGGAGGGGGAGACAAGACTCTGGGAGGAGGGGGAGA